GACAAAGGGCAGCCTTGGCGGAGTCCAACTCTCACCGGAAACGAGCCCGACTTACTGCCGGCAATGCGGACCAGACTCTGACACTGGTCATGCAAGGACCTGACAGCCCGTATCAAGTGGCCCGGTACCCCATAGTCCCAGAGAACCCCCCACAAGGCCCCCCTTGGGACACGGTCGAACGCCTTCTCCAAGTCCACAAAACACATGTAGACCGGTTGGGCGAACTCCCATGCACCCTCCAGGRCCCTGCTGAGGGTGTAGAGCTTGTCCAGTGTTCCACGACCAGGACGAAAACCACACTGCTCTTCCTGAATCCGAGGTTCGACTATCCGACAGACCCTCCTCTCCAGGACCCCTGAATAGACCTTACCAGGGAGACTTAAGAGTGTGGCCCCCCTGTAATTGGAGCACTCCCTCCGGTCCCCCTTTTTAAACAGGGGGACCACCACCCCAGTCTGCCAATCCAGGGGGACTGCCCCCGATGTCCATGCGATATTGCAGAGTCGCATAAGCCAACACAACCCTACAACATCCAGAGCCTTGAGGAACTCCGTGTGATCTCATCCACCCCCGGGGCCCTGCCACCGAGGAGGTTTTTGACCACCTCAGTGACCTCGTCCCCAAAGATTGGAGACTCCAACCCAAAGTCCACAGGCTCAGCTTCCTCAACAGAAGGCATGTTGGTGGGATTGAGGAGGTCTTCGAAGTTTTCGGCCCACCGGACCACAACGTCACGAGTTGAGGTCAGCAGCACACCATCCCCACTATAAACAGTGTTGGTGCTGCACTGCTTCCCCCTCCTGAGACTTTTTTTCCCACTAGTGCCACTTAGTGTAGTGTCGGTACGGTTCGGTACGGTTCCAAGCCATTTCCATTAGGCCAGATCCATTGAACCGGCACCTTTTTTTAGTACCTACTTCATTGTGGTTCCAACCGGCCCCAGCTGACACCAAAATGCGACGTCAGAACACTGTTCGTCACTGATTGGCTAAATTTTTGCAAATGTCTAAAATTAAAAAAGTTATTCATCAAATGTGTTTCCATCTCTCATTTTGCCCATTAATTTTTTTTTTCAAATTACCTAAAAACCACCTCCGCCAACTGCCCAAAACACACCCATTGGAACCGGACTGGAACATCAGTGGAAAACCAACCGGTCCAACCCGTTCTGACACTGACCATACCGACACCACACTAAGTGGCACTTGTGGAAAAGGGGCTTTGTTCTCCTGGTGTTTAGTCAACTTGTGGCTCCTCCCCAACCTCTCCCCCATCTCACTCAATCTAATCTTTTTCCTTGAAGAACAACCTGAAGCTGCACAGAATAAACAGTTCAATAACAATTTTCTGAACAATAGCTGAACTATGGGGGTTTATCTTTTTGGGGACTGGATTCTTCGGACTCATTCAGATATTCACAGATGTGCATACAACATTCATGGCTTCAGATACACGCCCTCTAAACTCTCTCCTCTGGCTAATAAATGTGCTCTAGCTCTGAAGAGTTTTTTTTTAATAACACCATAGTGTATCATATTTCGTTGATATAATCTGTTTTGTTTTTTTCCCTTATCTTCCCTTTTGTGGTATTTTTGTTTTTCTTTTTTAAAGATAGCACAACTCCTGCTGGTTGCCACATGACCTGTTCACCTGTTCCCCCATGATTTTGTCAGGTGTGTTGTCTTGAATGGGTGTTCTTAACTGTAATTTCATTGTGCTCCGTGCAATGACAATAAAGGCATCATCAAATCAAATCAAAATACTGAGACATCTCATGCTTCTCCTGCTCCACATTTCTGCTCAACTGTAAATTTATTTTATTAAACATCTGTTACTTCGTTGACTTGTTTTTAATTGTACGAATTTTAATTGCAATAACATCAAAAAGATTTATTTTTAAATGATTTATGTTCAGGCTAACTCTCGCATTATGGTGAGCATTTAAATTTGTTAATAAACCAGCAGGCACAACAGGTAATGCCAAAAGTACTGCATGCAAACGCAAAAGAAAATATTTATACATGGGCTTTGTACTTCCTCCTTCTTGATGAAAGCTGTTGTTTTAAGAGAACCAGGAAGTTCCTGAACTTCTAAACCTATCAATATCCATTCATTTCTTTTTTTTTTTTTAACTTTAGGCCTACTTTTTACCGTATTTTTTTTTTTTTTTTTTTTTTTT